TCTCTCTTCCTCTCTCTCCTTCCCACTCTATCTGAAAAAAAAAAATGAAACAAATGTCCTCGGGTGAGGAAAATAAATAGAAAGAAAATGCCAAATTGGTAACTGCTTCTTTTCACAGCTGGCTCCCAGGAGAAAGAGACTTCACCGACTGGTCCTGGTCAGTTTGGCTCAGTTTGGCTCAGTGGTTGAGCGTTGGCCTGGGGACCAGAGAGTCCTGGGTTTGGTTCTGCTAGGGGCATGTACCACCAAAAAAAAAAAAAGATAAAGTTCACCAACTGTCACCTGGAGATTTTGTTCATTCAAAAGACACTCTTTAACCTCAATGGCAGGAACCTCACCAGGCACCTAACCGTGAGCGGACATTTCTCCCTCTCTCTGACACTCGTCTCCACCCACAACAGACTTCAAAGGCTCCTCTAGGGTGAGAAGCTGCTAATATCAGAGGTAGACAGCTATCCCAAGACTTGGACAAAGCCTGTGTCCCTTCGGACTAATATTTATTTATTTTAATTCTTTTTAAAATATATATATATTTTTATTTTTATGTATCATTATTATTTTTTAGAGAAAGGGAGTGAGAGAGAAACATTGATAGGAGAGCAAAACACCGATCAGCTACCTCCTGCACACCCCCCGACTGAGGACTAAACTTGCAACCCGGGCATGTGCTCTGAATGAGAATCAAACTGGTGACCTTTCAGTGCACGGGACAACGCCCAACCAACTGAGCCACACTGGCCAGGGCAAGAATGATATTTAAGCTCAAAAACAAATTGTTTGTTTTCACCTGTCTACTAATATTAGTCATAATAACAGTTATACTTGTTCTTTGGCTTCTTCTATATAGTCTGTCAACATAAGAAACGTCCAAACCTATAACAATTTTTGAGTTTGAGCCTGTGGACCAAAGAGTCCTGGGTTCAATTCCGGCCAAGGGCACGTACCTCGGTTGTGGTTCATCCCTGGTCCTGGTTGGGGTTGTGCAGGTGGCAACCAATGGATGTCTGTCTCACATTGATGTTTCTCTCTCTCTTCCTCCCTCTCTCCCTCCATCTCTATCTGAAGATTAATGTAAAAATGTCCTCGAGTAAGGATTTAAAAAAAAAGAAAAGTAATCTCACAGGGTGATCTGATAAATTCTTAAATGGGCAGGTCACGGTGGATAGTCATGCCTCAGGCATATTTTTAGTTTACAAGGTTTATCTTTGACTTAAGCAAGCCCTACCTATTGTTTTTGTGCATCTAGGTTAATACCTTTGAAATAGGCATAACCACCTCCAAGAGAACACATTATCTTGTTAATTATCCCGTAATCCAATCCTGCGTTGCTTTCTCCCACCTTCATATAATCTTCTTTATGCTCCCTCCTTAATTTCAAATGCATTAAAGAAACTGCAAAACTGTCATCCTCTGAAGCATTTGAGATGTTGCTTCCTGGCAATTGTAGTCAATTTGACTCAAATAAACTCTTATACAAATTCTCTATAGGTTTCAATGCTTTTTATATCAAAGCATGAAATATTTTTATCTCTGTGCATTTCAGGTACCCATTTCTGCATCCTTAGAAATGATGTAGAAATGCCTCACAAACCTAATTCCTGCGATGTGCATTTGGATAACCTTAACTGCCTCACATCGGGAAGGTGAAAAGCTACTGTATTTCTTAAGGATGACTCTGCTCTATTTTTGAGAAAAGCCATCTCACATTAACACACAAGTTATACAGGTTTTTCATCCACTATTTGCTATTCTGATGACTCAAAACCTTAGATATTATATCAGTGAGCATATCAGGAAGAAAGACAGCCTAGTAGGTATGATCTCTATTGATGGCAGGCAGCCTTGACTTTGAAGAGCCACTTGGTCACTTGTTAGGTGTGTGACCTTAGGCAAGTGACTTAAGTTTCAGTTTCCTCAATTGTAAAAAAAAAATAGGTAATGGTCTCTGGGATTGTAGGAAGATAATTCACAGTTTGCCATGGTGTCTGGTACATAGGAAGTGCTTGATAAAAATAAATGTTACTTAGCAGTATTAATAAGATGTTTTTCAAGTTTGATATATACAATACAAGCAGCATTTACAAAAGAATTATTTGTCCCTATTTCCCCAAATCAGAAACCTCAGGAATTATTGTGAAGACTCTAGAAAAAAGGACAAAAGTCTATAATGCCTTCCTTTCAGCACAAGGGCCAATATTCTAATGCTGCTGTTTACCTATGGCTATACCTCAGCTGTTCCTGGGGTTGGAAGTGAGCATCTCCTAGGATCCAAACAACTCTTTTGTAGTAGACTTCTGTAGCTTAGCCCTCTGGGAGTACAGTTTAATATTCAAAATGAATTCAGTATTTGCTACATCTTTGACCTTAACATCACTGACCATATTGTTTTCTGCTTAAGATCCTAAGCTCATGAGGAACATGTTTTTGTTTAATGTTTTGATCATTGTTGAGTACACAAATGCCTGGAGAATCAGCTGGCCCCTAAGTCCTTTCAGATGTTGGCAGCAGACTATAGTATGTTACAATGACCTGCCTTCTCACTATGGAACTGTAAATCTGTCCATGCCAGGAATCCAAGAATGGCCAAGGAGCAGATGGAAACTAAGGCCTTGGGCCTTGGGGCACACACAGATACTCTTGAGAAAGGGAAGGAATGTCCCTCCCCCACAGTGTTCCAACCCCTCTTCTTGGCTGCTTCCTCCAGAAACGATGAGAGAAAGGGAAACGATGAGGGGAAATGTTGCTAGTGGGTCTGGCAAAGCCATGGTCAGAAATAGCAGCTCCCACTTGGCAAAAGAAATGCCCTGCCATCCACATAGCATGTTGTTAATGATGAGTCTATGATAACAGAAAGTGCTTGTACTGTAACTGAAAACAGGTTAGAAAATTTTATATACAGGTATACACACATACTCATACACACATACACAATGCAATCTCAGTTATGTAAAATAAAGCATATTAAAAAGCATAAAGGCAGTACACCAAAATGTTGGTTGTCATGTGGGGGATTCTAGGTAATAGTCTCTTTCTACTTTCCTATTATTTTTCTAATTTTAAAATAATTTTTATTATTTTGGTATCTGAAAATTTTACATCAAATGTAAAAATAAGTTAATTAAAATTTGGCAAATTTCAGTTTTTAGCAAAAGGGAAAGAAATAAATGTTCTGTTTTCACAACAAACAATAATCTGTCTTACAAAAGACTCTGACCATTGCCCTGATGATGAAGCTGGCAATTAGTAACTAGGAGGAAGGCTTCCAAATGCTGATGTGGGCAACCTACCCCAGTCCCCTCTTCTGGGTCAGATCATTCTTTTTTCTGTTAAATAGTCTGATTAATCATATATGTTTGGGAACTGTGAAGGGGAGAGGTATAAGGAGAATAAAATTGTTAGAAATCAGTAGGGTAAACAAACTATGGTAAAAAATGCTTTGAAGCCCGGCTGGTGTGGCTCAGTGGTTGAGCATTGTCCTATGCACCAAGAGGTCACTGGTTCGATTCCCAGTCAGGGCACATGCCCAGGTTGTGGGCCAAATCCCCAGTGGAGGGCATGCTGGAGGTGGCCAATCGATGTTCTCTCTCATCAATGTTTCTGTCTCTCTCTCCCTCTCTAAAATCAATAAAGAAAAGAAAGAAAAAAACAAAACAAAACTGCTTTGAAAGCCTGAATGGTCTACACTTGGACTAAATAGCTGTATTTGTTTCACACATAGAGTCACCCTGGGGAAAAAACCTCAAGCACACCGTTGAGTGAAGAGTTTAGGCCTTAACGGTATCAATAATTTTGCTTTGGGAGGAGGGATTTCCCTCACGAAAAGCAAGGACACAAACCTCAAGGAAGTCTGACTGAGTGAAGTTTTTTTTTTTATCCTCACCAGAGGATATTTTTTTCATTTCCTGTTCAGATAGAGTGGGAGAGAGAGGGAAGAGAGAGCAAGAGAAACATCCACATGAAAGGGATACATCGAGCGGTTGCCACCCACACGATCCAACCAGGCTGGGGACAAACCACAACTGAGGTACATACCCTTAACGGGAACCGAACCCAGGTCTCTCTGGACCGCAGGTCAACACTCTAACTGCTGAGCCAAACCAGCCAAGGCCAGTGGAGTTTTAAGTATAGTTCTAATAAGGCTGCCCTGCTCATCTCCTGATCTTGCTTACATGAGCCCTGGAGAACGGGTCAAGGTTCTATTCACTCGCCTGAAGCCTGTAGGTCTAGGCCTTTAAATGCAAGTTCTCTCACCTGGGAATAGTAATCTGATCCTCCTACACCATCTCTAGAGCTGTTGCTGCTCAAGCAGCAGGAATCTGAGGCCGTATTTAATATCCCCGGGGCCAGGACAGGCAAGAGATGGGACCAGGGTGCCTAGATGCAAGTGCGAGTGCCCCGGAGAGTGCATCTAGAATATTTCTCTTGGAAACCCTTGTCAGGGCTGTGATTTTTCTACTGGAGGGTGGAGGCAAATATTGTGGACAGGCTAGCTTCTAGCCCACTCAGACTCTCATTTCTCATCACACACTGCTAAATCTGAGTCAAGGCAGTAACCAGGTGAAGGTATTTTTCATTTGGTTCTGGCTGGAAATGGAGGATAGGGAGCAATGTCTGGGAGTGACGACAACATAGCATGGAAGGCTTGTGAATGCGTAGAACACCAATGAAAACGGGAGGCCAAGAGGATATACGGTGTGGAGGAATGAGGCAGGGGAATAGATTGCCTTAAACTTGTCAAATTACCCAGATGGAGGCAGCTGGTTTAGCCAAGTGGGCCGATGCCACTGAGAGGGGGACCCTGGAAGAGGGAGCTCAGCGTGGAGAACCTTAATCCCAGATCTACACCCGCTCAGGGGCTGCAGCTGTCCCTGCCCACGCAGCCCCTCCGCGCTGCGCAGGTGCAGGGTGGCCCTGCTCTGCACCTGCACCCCCGGGCGGCTGGAGAGGGGGCCAGAGGGCTCCACCGGGCGCCCGGGGCGAGGGAGCGGCGGGGTGGGTACCTTGGTGCCCTGGTGGAAGTCGTCGACGGACCTTGTGCCCATGAAGGGGAACTGCATGTGAGTGTGCGTGTCGATGCCGCCGGGCAGGACGAGCTTGTCTGCAGCGTCGAGGACCCGCAGCCCGGCGGGCTCCCCCCCAGGGGGCAGCAGGTCGCGACCCAGCGCCCGCACCACGCCGTCCTCCACCAGCACGTCGGCCACCTGCGAGAAGTCGTCGTTGACCACGCGACCCCCGCGGATCAGAAGCCTGGATGGCGCTGCCATGGCAGGGGGCGCACGGGCTCGTCGGGGCGAGCGGGGTCAGCGTGCTCCGAGATACCCAAAGACCGTCCCGGCCGCCGGCTCAGGCTGCAAACGACGGGCAAGTCCGGAGTCCGGAGCCCAGGCCGGTTTATCAACTGGCCCCCGGGTGCCGGCTCCACCCCCGGGAGGGCTGGTCGGCGCGGAAGGGCTGGGAGCGAACAGGAGGTCGGCACAGCTGTGACCCCACACGCTGGTATGACGCCCTGAACCCAGGTGTGCATCCAGCCCCTGCAAGGGAAAGATCGTGGAGTTTTAAAAGTGAAGGACTAGTTAGGGAGCAAAATCCACCTCATGGACACACACACACACACACACACACACACACACACACACACACACACACGGTGGGGAAGGAGGCTGTAGGCGACCACCACCGCAGCAGCAGCAACGCTGAAAACACCCACACCGAGACAGACAGAATCCCTAGATCTGGATTTTCTTTTAAATATTCGTTACGTGAGGAGCAAATCACTACACAATCTCAGTAACTGGCAGACTGGACGTTCAGAGTGAAAATATTTAATCTATTCGAAATGAAAACAACTTGGTATCAACCTTTCTCCAAGTTTTAATGATGCAATGCATACAAGCGGAGTTTTTCTTGGAAAATAACAGGTAATGTGACTCCAAAGATCTAGAGTTTTTTTCTCTCAGCTTTCGGCATAACTAGAAGTCTTCAGTTAAATCTTTTATCCTCTTGGTATAAAACTGGTATATGTCCTCATATACAAAAGTGAGATAATATTTGTTCTTCCCCTCCAGATATGCTTTGAGAAGTAAATATGCTGACCACGTGAATCCACCTTAATAAAACGGGAAGTGCCATACGCATGGAGGGTTAAGTGATCAAGATAAATCACATTCTCGAGTTCAAGGAGCTAAGAGCTAATGTGACACACACATGTTTCAATATATAACAATGTCTAAAGCAGAAGTTTCTACCTTTAAGAGAGGATAATAAGAGTTTAGAGGAGACCCTGGCCAATTTGGCTTAGTGGTTAGAATCCATGGACCAAAGAGTCACGGGTTCGATTCCAGTCAAGGGCACATACTTCAGTTGCAGTTCAATCCCCAGCCCTGGCCGGGGTCGCGTGGGAGGCAACCAATCAATGTTACATGGATGTTTCTCTCTCTCTCTCCCTCCCACTCTATAGATGGAAAAATATCCTTGGGTGAAGATTAAAAATAAATTAATTAAATAAAATATGTCGGAGCCTTTTGCTTCCTACCAAATGAATCATTTAAAAAGGAGAGCATTCAAAAGTATTCAAGTATAAAAGATATGTTTCTTCTAAACCTGCCAACACCCATATGTGGCATCATAAACAAAATGAGGAATACAGGTAAAATAATAGTGCTGAAAGTTTTAAATGATGTGAGGATAATTGCCTGGTACATAAATATTGTCTTCAATCAACAGTGGGTTTATTACTTATATTTCTGCTGTAAATATATTATGGCTATAAAATAGGTTTTCCTAGTGGAAAAGAAATGTATATCTAGAAGTAAAATGAAGGTCTAAAAAACACAGGAAGACTGGAAATAAAGAAGGCATCTGATCTAATAGGGATATAGCTAAAACTGCATATTTTTTGTGGTCCTCAAGAATGCTTATTTACTTTTGTTTAATGTTTTCTGTTTACCAAAGCCATGTAAAATAATTTCATGCTCCATCTTTTTTTTTTTTTTTTAATCCTCATCCGAGGACATTTTTCCATTTTTTGTACAGACAGAGTGGGAGGGAGAGAGAGGAAGAGAGAGAGAGGGAAACATCGATGTGAAAGGGACACATCGAGTGGCTGCCACCCGCATGACCAACCAGGGCCGGGGACAAACTGCAACCGAGGTACATGCCCTTAGCGGGAACCGAACCAGGGCCTCTCCGGACCGCAGGCGGACGCTCTAACCGCTGAGCCAAACCGGCCAGGGCCATGCTCCATCTTTGATACTGCATTGTAGAAAAATGCACTGTGGTTTTTTGTTTTTTCCCCCTACCTTTAATAAATTTATAATCTGGGTACATGTGAAAAGAAGTTTCAATAAAAAGCAAAGTATTTACTGAGTTGGGCTGCCACATAGGTTAAAAAAAAAAAATTTAAGATAAAAAGATTGCAAGAGAAAAAGAGAGTTTTAGGTTATTTTAATTATAGCCATCTTAGATCCCAGATTTTATTTTAGAACACTATGTTTCCAAACATTCTGCTTTACAACTAGTCACCAGATACAAGTTTCAGAAAACATGTTCACCAAAGGCAAAAAAAATAAATCGCCTGACAGTGCTGTTAACTTTGTCATATGACCTTCAATAAGCCTTTCAACCTTCGTTTTCATCATCTTTAAAATGACAAATATGTATCTTCTTGGGTTCTAATTCTGAATCCTTGGAGTGTGCCCAGAGTACTGTGTTGAAGAATCCAAGACCTTCCCTGAGAAAAATGCAAAAGTGTGCTGCTATTGTAAGTTCCAGAAATGAAAAAAAAAGTAGAGCTGCAGTGGAAATATCACATATTTGCCAAACAAAATGTCTAAGGTGCATGTTACAACGATTCATAGCATGGTGAGGTAACAGTCACTAAATGATGTTCTGTTCTTTTTCACTTACACAGGCATACTTTATTTCAAGAAAAAAGCATGATAGAAAAATAATTAATAACCTTCAACAAATTCAGTAAAAAACATCCATGATCAAAACTAAATCCCCCTTGTCACACTACATCTACCGATTAGAACTTTATTTGTAAGAGAGCAAAGTGGGTTAGTTCATAACACACGTATTAGAGACAAATACAGAGTGGAATCAAATCCCAGTTGATTATCCTTTCTAGCAGCTCTAAATTACCCAATCTCTCAAATTTCAATTTCAAACTTCTGTTTCTGAAACCACAATCTATCAGTCTGATGTCTTAGTTATTTTGCCCATATTTTCCTGCCTCCTTCCACCCTACCATCCACTGATTAATGTTACTCAATTGCCTACCCTGGTTCCATATATTTCCCTTTATAGAACAAATCATGTACTTTTTGCTCTTTTATTCTTCTATTATATCCTTCTGGTCAAATCTTAGGCTAAAATCAATCCAACTGACCACATTTTCCTCTCTGAAAGCCAGGATACAGGAGAAAACCATGCAACCGTATATGTTAGTGACAATTTAACTTCATGCCTTAAACTTCATCTGGGTCTTTCACATGGCCTGCCTCCTGTATCAATCCAGATTCTGCACTCTTCTGAATCCAGCGCCATTACTTCACCTCTATCCCTACTTAGCAGTTGATCAAAATTTTCACTTAAAAAATAAAAATAGGAGCCCTGGCTGGTTTGGCTCAACGGTTGGAACGTCGGCCTGTGGTCCAGAGAGACCCGGGTTTGGTTCCCGCTAAGGGCATGTACCTCGGTTGCAGTTTGTCCCCCGGCCCTGGTTGGTCGTGCGGGTGGCAGCCACTCGATGTGTCCCTTTCACGTCGATGTTTCTCTCTCTCTCTCCCTCCCACTCTATCTGAACAAAAAATGGAAAAATGTCCTTGGGTGAGGAAAATAAAATAAAAAAAATAAATAAATAAAAATAGGAGACATGAGATGTGAATCTATAAAACTTCCATCTGCAGAGTTTTCTTATATATGTTTTTCCCCTTGTCATTTCCATTTATTTCCTAAGGTCACTACCTTTATCTAGAATGCGCTCCTTAAATCATCACTACTTTTCCTTTAACACTTAAGTTAGATACTATCTCATTAGGGGTATACTAAGTTTGAAATAATCATCCTAATTTTGAACTTCTATAATATCCTGTTTTGATGGGTAATCCTTTCAAAGAACTTGCTGATTGTGTGTGTGTGTGTGTGTTTGCTTTTGACATTCCGCCCGTCCCCCAACATCCATGTCTATATTTACTTTGAAGGCAGAAATTGTGGTTTTACTGTATTTCTTTGTCTTGGGCTTAGCAAAATACCTGCCATATACTTGAAACTAAAGAAATACTTACAATATTTCCAACAATAAAAATAAATTTAAAAAAAAGAGTTTAGAGGAAAGGGAGAATTTATTTCTGCCTTGAAGAAAATTAAATATGGAAGTTTCACAAAGAGATATTTGAACCAGGATATAAAGGACATGAACATGGAGAAATGAGGGATGGGAGAGGAACGTGTTCTGGACTGAGGGCACCGAGCATGTAGAGGCACAGAGGAGGTGGTGGCAAGTTGGACAACCATGGACAGTGCCCTTTCCAGCACTCAGGGAGACCGGACAGCACTGGGTAGAGAAGGCAGTGATGACGATTTTCAGGGCCACCAAGAGCAAATGCTGTAGAAAGGTTGGAGTGTGGTGGATGGACCTCTGCTGTTCTAGCATCTATTCTTGTCCTTACCCTGCTAACAGTCACTGCAATGTCTTTGGTGGGAAATCCTGCACCCGCTTTCTTAGAACAGGTGCCTTAACTGAACTCATCGGACCTCTGGCTCTGGGACTGAGCTGCTCAGCTAAGTTCTGCCAATCACAACAGGAAATCCTCCCAGCCACATTGATAGATCCAGTGATGGGTACCTGTTCCAAGCAGACTAATGTGCCCTGTAAGAGCAGATCCTAAGACTTCTGTAAGCAGGCAAGAAGTGTTTCTTTCCTGCTGGACTTGAATCTGGGAGGGTGTAAACCAGAGGCTCTGGCAGCCATCTAGACAACACAGGGAGACCATCCTTCGTGAGCAGAGCCAACACAGAGAACAGGTGGAGAGATGGAAAGAGACTGGGTTCTCACGACATTGTTGGGGCTCCTGAAATCAACCATTTAAAGTTCCCTCACCTAGGTTTTCCGCTGTTTGCTGAAGCTGGTTTACTTTGGGTCTTCTGTTATTTTCACTTGTCAGCTGACAGACTGGGAAGATACCTTTGAGTTTGGAGACTAGGTGGTCACACATGACCTTGAGATGCCAAAATGCTATTATTGCCAAATTTCCTCAAGCTT